CAGATGTTTCATAGTCTTCAACAAATATCTTGCCATCAGCATCTTTTAAATGTTCAAACCCCTATCTAAAATCGTATCTACCTTTAACGTACTTATAAAGTCCTTGTTCTTAGTTTAATATTATCAAGTAGCTATTTCACATAAGCCCTTTGTGATTTCCCAATTTCTTTTTTAACCAAATCTATAACTTTCCTTTCGTTTTTAAATCATCCATTCTATCTGTCAATTTTAACTTCTTTGAAACTTGTATGTATTTATTCCTTACTTTTCCTCTCTGTCTTTTGTAAGTCAATTAGATTTTATCTACACCACCATTTTCTCTTTTTAACAACATGCCTATCTTTAATTAAAAAGTTTATTTTTTAACATTTATCAAATCCATATAATATCACCTTTTAACTCATTATCCCAAATTCCTACCAATAAATCTTATCATGGGGCCTCAAAATCAGCTCTCTAAAAATAGAAACTAAAACTGAATTTATCTCAACATGCAGGAAAAAATATCAAATTATGTAATGACAACTCTTTTGTAAGTGTTCCCCCTAATTCATCTCTTGGAAACATATCTTTACTAGAGGTTAACAATAAATCTAAAATCCTATAACCCAAGCACTTTTGAAAGATGGACCTTTCTTCTTCAGGAGCAAACTGATTCCCAGTTTGTCCTGAAAAAGAAAGGTCCACCTTTCAAAAGCACTCAAGTTATAGTGTTTTTATCATTTTGTATCAATACTTATTGAACAAGTGTTTTTATTACATCATGAATAAATCTAAAATGGTATCCATCCTGGCTGGTTCTCTGACAACTGGGTATTTAAAAACAAAACAAAAATCCTGAATCACTTCAAGAAACCTCTCTCCCTCACAATTGGACTCCATACAATCCCATTCAGTGTCTAAAATTATTCTTCTCCATAATGTTTTCACTACTCACAAGGCACACGTGTCCTTTTCATAAATTGGCATAAAAAGGGTTAAAATGGAACTTTCCATGCACATAAAATACTTAGTGTTATAATTTTAAATTTATATCACTGTATTAGCTCAATGTATTTGTTATACTTATTTTAATATGTAGTTTGAAATTTTGTTGGAGGCTGTTAAATACAAATTTACTTCTATAGCCTGATGAGAAGCTTTTGAAAAGGGTTGTGGTAGTTGGAAGTGCACAGTACCCATTTATTTCTATTTAATACAGAAATAAAATATTTTATATTGAATTTGCTGCTTAATAGCATATGTATATGTAACAGTTTGAAGCCTACACAGTTTTATTGTATATGAATATAGCAATCATTTCTATCTTCTTGTAATATTATAATACTTATCCTGCATTAATAATTTTTTCTATAAACGTGCAGAATTCATGCAACAGAAAGTCGAGAAAGCCGTTAAGTTGATTTCATTGTAGTTGCCTTTGTTATTCCCTAATAGATAATACCTGTTCTGCCCAGAGACAATACTGTTGCAATACTGCAAATTGTGAAAGGATGTTGAAGCAGTGTCCTTCAATGGTAGTTCAAGTGGTATCTAAATGTTATGGCCTCACTTATGTTGGAATAAAAATGACAAGTAACATGGATAGTGCTAGTCTCTCTGGGTAAATATTACATTTCTTGTGAACTAAGACTCAGTTTGCCTCTGAAGAATAAAGGTCCACCTTTCAAAAGCACTCGAGTTACAGGGTTCTTATAATTTTGTATCAAGACTTAAATATTACATTTCTTGTGAACTAAGAATGTTGGATTTAGACAGTCTGAAACAGGATCTGGAGGCCAAGCATTTGTATCTTTTGTAATAAAAACTGTTTCATACTTCACTTTGTGTCTAGTCTCATCATTCCATTCAATAACAAATCTCAGTAATTTTGAGAGTTAGCATTACTTTGCAATCGGTATCTTGATTGAATCTCCTGTTACTAAAACTACCTATCTCACTGCTCAAAGGTTCACTCAGTTACATTGTTGTAGTACATGTACAATTCAGTGGTTCCTTACTGTAATAGTACATGTGAATTTTGTTACGTAATTAAACTGAGAAATATGTAAAATTTTTACATATCATATTTTTAATTAGTGTAGCATGTTTAGATATATTTTTCACACCAACGAAAAGGCAGTAGTTTTCCCCTATTTACTGGGTCACTCTTTTGGCTCCTGACATTAATAATGTACACATTTCTTTTGTTATTGGATTTTGTCATATTTATAATAAAGAAGGCAGGGTTATTTTTCTTATAGGGTGGTCAGCAGTTGGAATAGTTTGCATTTAAGTGTGGTAGAAACTGCAACATTAAAGATGTTAAAGAGGAGATTAGATTAATATTTTAGAGATCATGGCTGGATATAGGAAAAACACTTTCTATGAGCACTTTGTTGTACGTTGGCAGTATAAAATCATATAGCCAAGATAGGCCAAATGGCTCGTTGTTACCTCATAAAAACGAAATGATCAAAGTACGCTAACTACATAGTGTAGAAATACTGAAAAATAATGCACTAAATGGGAGTATATAAATTAATATCATAAAACAATTCACAAGAAAACAAAAACATAATGACTAGAAGGCGATGATTCACAGTTGCATATGACATTTTTGGCAATAATTTCAATAATATCTCACAGATTTAAGTTAGTCAAAACTCAACCAATGAACTAACAATGCAATATAATTTTCAGAAATGCTTTATATATCTAAATAACATTTAATGACAATAAAGGTCCTGTTGGTTCATCAATGCTACCCTATACACTTAAAAAACAAACAAACTTGAATCCAGCCCTGATCATTTAAGAATTAATCAAGCCTTCAATTACATTAACTGCATCCATCACATTTGAAAGCAACCCATTCCAAAAGCCAATCACTATGTTAAAAAAGTAAAACTGTTTAAGCTGAAGATGACTCCTACACTGCCAAAAGTTATATACCTATACCTTTATCATCCATAAATATGAAAAAAATAAGATACCCTAATATCATGAATTTCTTTAATAATCTTGAACACCTCACTCAGATCTCCTATCTTTTTCTTTTTCAAAAAAGCAACTTTGGAGATCTTAACTTTTCCTTGTATAGCAATCTTTTCATCTCAAGTATCACCTTAGTGGCCCTCCTCTGAACATTTTCAACAATTCAATTAACATACTGTGTTAGTTTATAACATAAGATTTAAGGACAACATAGGATCTATTGATCCATCTAGGATGTCTCATCTGCTAAACTAAATTACCAAAGAAGAAAGAAGCCTCACAGCTAGCCCATATTATTCAAATATTTATGAAGCCTTTCTCTTAACTCCCTTAAATTTATTGCTTCCACTACATCTGAAGGCAACCCATTCCAAAGGCCAACTATCCTGTTAGGATAATTAAATTGTCTTAGCTGAAGATAATTCCTCCCCTGCTAAAATTCATAATTGTGTTTTCTAGTCCAAACATTCTTACCATTAAGTACAAAAAACAAGAGGGAATCTTCAATAGCCACAGCACTTGAAATTCATTCAGGTAGGAATAGAATAAATTAATCTATGAGGCACCTTTTTTTTTTCTTAGCTATAATTGTGCGACAGCAATACCAAGCGTGGTATGCATGTATACCCTATTTGATTTTAGGCAGGATTAGAGCATATTAATCTTATGTCAAATGCATGAATAGAAAGGGTTTGACCTCCTGAGTCCCACAGTGTAATTAGATCTCAAATCAGTTAAGAAATGACAGAGCTATGAGCTAAAAGTATGTGCTTGAAAAACAAAACAAAAAACTCGGAGCTGTTCTATGAGCTGCAGCTAAAAATCATGCCTCAACACTATTAGTTCCTTTAACAATCCTAAACACCTCAATTAGAACCCCTCTAACCCTTCTTTTTTTTTTCCTGAGAAAATTTCAGAGAACTTAACCTCTTCTCATATGATAATTTTTCTATCCCAGGTATCATCCTAGTAACCCACCTTTGAACTGTTTTCAACAATTCAACACACTAGTACACATTTTCCCTATATAAAAAAAAATATAATCAATTTATTTTCTATTCAGTCTTTCTATGGATACAACCTAAATTCCTAATTGCCCTACCACTAGCAACAGCACACTACTTGGATTGCTCTGATCAACCAGAAAATATATGGCAGTATAGTTTGAGGGAAGAATTAACAAACTATAACTGGTGATGCTGAACAAAGGCAAAGGTATGTTCATGTTAATTAGACAAATTATTTCTTTAAATTTCGTCCTGTAGCAGTCCATAGAATTTATTATCAATGAATAGTTGCCACAACATTGAAACTCAGCATTGTTAGTTGTGTTAGATTTTTATAAAGGCTGTAAATATTGTAGTGTACAGAAATGGGAATTGGGCTTTGAGGGATAATGATGAAGAGGTTATTACAGAAGATTATGGGATTACTAGGTTGCTAAATTTTTATTTTTTTCCAGTTTTCACTAAAGAAGATGTGAAAAGTATTCCAGAGCCTGAGAAATTAATAGCGGGAAGTATGACAGATATATATGAATTTAATATTTGCCTTGACATTGTTAAAGAAAAATTGTTAAGTTTAAAATATTGTAAGGCTCCTGAGATATATAATATTTTTTCTGGGGTTATTAAAAAGGTTAAAATTACATATGCAAGCCTTTACTAAAATATTTTGTGAGTCTTTGAGTAGTGGGCAGATACCAGAAGACTGGAAGCTGGCTAATGTTACACCTATTTTTAAGAGAGTTCATAAGCATTGTTCACATAATTATGGTGTTAAAAGTTCTTGACAGACTGACCGAACTTTACAGTCTTGTTAAACAGCCAGCATAATTTCACATGGGGAAAATTTTGTCTCACAGATCTTTTGATGTTCTTCAAAGGAGTCACTTTTTATGATGATGTGGGTAAAGGTGAAGATTTAATATATCTGGATTTTTGGAAAGCTTTTAACAAAGTGCCACAAAAAAATAATAAAAAAATCATCTCTGCACATCACTGTGGATATACATTAACAATATTGATGAAGAAGTGGTCAAGTTTGATAATATTTAAATTTTGGTGTAGTTGGTTGTGAGGAGAATGTTCTTGTTTTCTCAAGAGGATTTCAACCACTAGACAAATTTGATAAATCAATGGCATTTGATTATGCTAAATGCATTTAACTTAATTTCCACCTTACTTAGAACTATTCAGTAGTATTATGGTAGACAAGAATCTTCATGTTTTAACTATCAGTCTCTTATGCCTTTCAGACAGTATATTGTTGCCAGTGGGAAAGCAGATAGGATTTTGGGTTATATCTACAGCAATACTCAATATAAGTCAAAGACGATCATTTCTTTGTACAGATCTTTGGTTAAGCCTCATTTTGAGAATTGTGTTCAGTCTTGGGCTCCTTACTTTATAAAGAATGCCGAGTTGTTGGAAAGGGTTCAAAGGAGAGCTACTAATATTTCAGAAATGAAGGGGCTGCCATATGATGAAAGATTACGGTTCTTAAAATTATTTTCTTGAGAAAAGAAGGGTTAGAGGGGATCTGATTGAGGTGTTCAAAATTATAAATGGAATAAACATGACTGATGCATTATCTTTTCTTCGAGTTTAGTGGTAAGGGTGGTAGGGATAGGAGATGTAGATTTTTAATTTGGCAGGATATAAGACAGTATAGTCAGACTTTAGAATAGATTGCCTTCAGACATGGTAGATGCAACAGGAATGGGAGAGTTAAAGGGAATGCTTGATAAATACTTTAAAAACTCAGGGCTGGATATAGGTAAATAGGTGTTTGATAAAATGAATGAGACAGTCACAGGAGGCTTTTGCTGTCCCTCAAATGTCAAGTTAAATAGAAAACTTTCTAATATATTAGGAATATGACTTTTCTTTGGAAATTAAAAATTTATTTTCAATCACTACAACCACAAAATTTTAAAATAATGAAATACAGACCACAAAGTAATTATCAATAACCTAGTTCATGTAAGTTAATTACCAATAACCTTGTTCATGTACCACTCTTGAATAATAAAATACAGATTTCATACAGCTATAAAGTCTAAAAATAAACAGTCCCTAACTTACATTTTTCACTTGATTTCATGGAAAAATTAGTTACAATATTTTAAATACAATAATTATTCATCATTTGCTGCTATCCTAATGAATTAGTTTATATTTTGTTTCTGAAAAAAATGATCACAAGAAGAATACAACAAAATATAAATAAAGAAGAGGCACACAGACATGTTTGCAACATAGTCTGTATCAGGTAAGCATAATGTTGTTTCATGACAGCATGTAACTTTGAAGAACTTTTGGAACAACAAATGAACAATCTGATGTCTGACAATTTTCTATAATGGCTGCAATTAGAGTAGGAATAGAAACAACAGTTCCATGAATCAAATGCAAAAACCCATTTGGATTACCTTTAGAACAATGTCTCATCATCAATCTTTTACTAATATACTCACCATTCCTAATAATAGTAGCACATAATGCATAATCGTTTAATGCTGGTGCCCACACTTCAAATTCTATACGTAAACTCTCTGCTGCACCAAGATTTTTAGATGCAAGTTTTTTAATTCTGAAAGGTAAATTAATCAAACTATAACACTGTTGAAGAAGGGTTACTAACTTTCCAAAATTTTCTTTTTCATTACTTTCCTCACATGCTATGATGAAATGAATTTCTGTTCTTTGTGGAACTGAAAATAAACCTGGAATTGTTAACTGTTGAGGATTTAATGACTGATAACATCTTCCAACAGAGAAAAATGTTAATGGTAGTGAAGTTTTTTCCACAATGCTTCTTGTGAAATATGCAATCAAGGATTCAAAACTTGCCCCACCAGTCAAAATTGACATGGCACCCTTTTGTTCAGATATTAGAGAAATAGATGACATGAAGCTGTTTCCACATCCTTCTACAATGACACTTTTAACAATATCTGGACAACTGATTTCTGTTAAACCAGCATCTGCCAGATGATGGCTGAAAAAGTAAATAAGTGCAAGTTCAAGTAAAGCAGCATTTCTTGTTAAATAATATGAACATGGACTAACATTTGAGAACTGAATATCATTAGGTAACACCTGAAGGTGGCTTCTACAAGCTTTGAGATTTTGAATACAGTTGTCTTGATTATTGGAACAAAAGTTCCCAATTATATCATCATCTTGTAGTGGAGTGTCTGGATGAATGTTATTAGGAATTGATAGTAATACTGGTATAGCATCATCTTCATAATCCCACATCTTCTCAGTAACATGTTTGATTTCTTCCCTCACCTTCCTTCCTTCCACTTTCCAATTCTCCTTTTCTTCTGAAGTTATATGGTTTGTTTTTGAGAGCTCTTGTAATTTCTGGCTTATATTTTCCTTCCTTCTAAGCAATTCTTGTAGTTGTTTTTTAAGAGAGACTATTTGTATTAGAGTGTCAGTGAGGTCTGGAAGCTTAGTCCCTCTTAATTCACTCATTTTCTGCAAATTCTCCCAGTTTTTTAAGTAGAAATCAAGATCCAGATTAGGTGAAACTACTGGAAATATTTTTTTGCCATAACGCCCAGAAACATACAAGGTAGATGGAATGAATGCTTTGTAATTATATGAAACATGAGAAAAATTCATATGCATTACAGATGTAACTTTAGGCACGAAACACAAGAGAAGTCGATATCCTATAATTTTCGTGGTAATTGTGACATTAGCTAACAGTAACATTGTTTAGTTGCAATGAAGGGCAAAAGTATTTACAAACGCAATCACATACACGTTCTTTTCGTTGGCAAAATTAAGGTAATATAAAGTAGTTTACCTTAGTTACGCAAGTTAGACCAAACGTTTAAATCTCTTTCGTAGATGATCGTGTACACTTACTACGGCTTAGTACCTTTGCCTAGGCCTAAGTGGAGCTTAACACACTGTTTTACTCGTTTATAATTAAACACAAAACAACACCATAGGCTATCTGTGCTGTGCCCATCACGGATATAGATAAATTATTTTTAGCGTTTAGACGTACTGCTGAGTAAATATTAAATACTCCAGTGATACTAATATTAAGAAGGAAGTAGACTGACAGTAACAGTATAGAATACTTCAATCAATATGCCATAAGCTTCGGTTGTTTATTAGTATTACTATCGTAAATATTACGCTTTCAAAAAAAAAGCTATATTGTTTAGACATAATTTCATTTCCTATGTTGAAACAATTGTTGGTACATCGAAATGTTATAGTTAAAGAAATTTATATGTCTTCAAAGGTAAATAAAATAACGACCCATGTCTTTAGAATGTACTAAATATTAATAATGGTTGGAGACGGCTTAAATGGGTAATGAAGAAAACTTATATTAAAGCCGTCTCCAACCATTATTAGTCTCAAAGTGGGTTCCTCGTCATCGAATTTGTACTAAAAATTAGCTCAATATATCGCTATTACAGCTTCCTCAGGAACTATCGGTATTCTACAAGTTCATTTATTCGGATAAAGCTAAATTGGAACACTGATGATAGTGTTCCAATTTCGTTTCATCTGGATAAGTGAACTCGTAGGATATTGTTGCGTCAGTGAGTCACGTGACTACTATGACGCAACGTTTCTAGAACTATCATGTACTTTGTCGAATGTT